GTTGTGTGTGTGCGAGGTGAGTGGGAGGGGGGTGATCGGGTGGTGAGTGGCAGTGGTGGCAGGTACCTTCTGGTAGACGAGTCCGATGGTAGCGGAGCGCACGCGCATGCCAATGAGGAAGCAGCGCAGGAAGTACTGCTGCTGCAGCACGGACTGCAGCAGCGCCGTGAGTAGGAGCACCACGGCGTAGACGTAGCCCTTCCACTCGTAGACGCGTGGGTCGTCCGTGAAGGAGATCATCGCTCTGTCCAGAGAGAGACGGAGAGAGAGAGAGTGACAAGCTCGCCATTTACAGGGCGAGGAAGGTGGCACTGGAGGGGAAACGTCCGGCCAGCAGCCTGGGCATCTTCCGCGCTCTGGTCGGAGCCAGGGTGTGTGGGCTGGAGTTCCGCCATGCGCGGCTGACCCACGCCAAGTTATGAGCTACCCGTCGGAGGCCGTCGGACTGCGAGAAGGGCTGCGTGCAGAACGAGAGAGAGCGAGAGAGTGAGCGAGAGAGTGAGCGAGAGAGTGAGCGAGAGAGTGAGCGAGAGAGTGAGTGAGAGAGTGAGCGAGAGAGTGAGCGAGAGAGTGAACGAGAGATTGAGCGAGAGGTGGGGGTTTAGATAAAGCAAAGTTATTTAAATAAAAAAGAGTAAGACGGGGAAAGAGAGATGGAGGGAGATGGAGAGAAAGATGGAGAGAGAGGGGGAGAGACGAGGAGAAAACAGAGATCGAGAGAGGTAGGGAGACAGAAAAGGACAGAGAGATGGAGAGAGACTTTTGACTTTTAAATCACTTTTATTGCTGCCAGCAGCAACAGCACTGGAGCCGATTTCGATACGAAACACAAAGTCACCAGCAGCAAAATAACCAAAAACAAAAAAGCAACGTGCTGCGGCACGTGGCGCTGAACGCGTCACGCACGACACAAACACGTCACGTGGTGGTGGTCGTCGTCGCGCAGGCCACGCCCAACGAGCGAGCACGTGACCAGGTGACAAGGAGGGCGACGTTCACGCCGGTGCAAAGTCCTTTTCCGGCCCCCCAGCATTCGAATAAGCGAGAGAGAGATGGAGAGAGATGGAGAGACGCGGTGAGACAGAAACAGCCAAAGAGAGATACAGGTCGTGAAAGAGAGAAAGAGATACGGACAACGACAGATAGAAACAGAGACAGAGAGAGACACAGCGAGTGAGACAGAGAGATACAGAGAAGGAGAGAGACAGAGAGATACAGAGATGGACAGATAAACAGAGACAGAGAATGAGAGAAACAGAGACAGACACGGAGAGTGAGACAGAGATACACCGAGAGACAGAGAATGAGAGAAACAGAGAGACACGGAGAGTGAGACAGAGATACACCGAGAGACAGAGAATGAGAGAAACAGAGAGACACGGAGAGTGAGACAGAGATACACCGAGAGACAGAGAATGAGAGAAACAGAGAGACACGGAGAGTGAGACAGAAATACACGGAGAGACAGAGAATGAGAGAAACAGAGACAGACACGGAGAGTGAGACAGAGATACACCGAGAGACAGAGAATGAGAGAAACAGAGACAGACACGGAGAGTGAGACAGAGATACACCGAGAGACAGAGAATGAGAGAAACAGAGACAGACACGGAGAGTGAGACAGAGATACACCGAGAGACAGAGAATGAGAGATACAGAGACAGACACGGAGAGTGAGACAGAGATACACCGAGAGACAGAGAATGAGAGAAACAGAGACAGACACGGAGAGTGAGACAGAGATAACCCGAGAGACAGAAAATGAGAGAAACAGAGACAGACACGGAGAGTGAGACTGCGGTGGCCGTGAAGGTTTGGCCATGTTGGGGGCACCGCCTCTTACTTGAGGATCTGGGGATTCACGAACACCAGGAGATCGTAGATCAGCTTGAAGATCGCACTCTCGATCAGAGGCCTCCTGTATGTGCGCAGCATGGCCCTGAAGAGAGATGGTTTCCCTCCTGCACCACCACCAGCAGCAGCAGCATCATCATCGCCACCTCCTCTTGATCCGTAGCCCACGTCAGGCTCGCTGAACGGCTCCTTGCGTGACAATGAGAGAGGGAGAGACAGACAGAGACAGACTTTGACTTTTAAACAACTTGTATTGCCGCCAGCAGCAACCGCACTGGAGGCGATTCCGATACGAAATACACAAAGTCACCAACAGCAAAAAAACACAAAAAACACCACAGGCGCCGTGGCACTAAATGCGCTGCACACAACACAGAATAAAAGTCACGTGGTGGTGGTCGTCGCGCACTCTACGGTGACGAGCGAGCGCTTCAGAAGGTGAACGTGAGGGTGCCGTCCACGCTGGTACAGAGAGGGGCTTTTCCCGGCTCCCCCGCATTCGAGGGGGGGGGGGTGGGCCGCCACTGTCCCCCGGCGCCTCCAGCTTCAGGCGCAGCTCCTTCATGGCACGTAGCACGTCCCGCAGCAGCTTCTCCCCGGCGAGCGTGGAGCGGAGTCCCCTAGCGGTGCTGGCGATCTCAGCTGCGGCCTTCCACTTGGGCTGGTGGGCCTGCACGAGGTGGGAAACTGTCCGCAGCCCTGCTGATGTGAGGCATAGAGCCAGGGTCCTCTCTCCTCTGGTCCCCTGGAAGAGGCCGTTGCAGAACAAGGGCTCGTTCAGGAACCGCACGAGGTCATAGGGCGCCACGCACGTTCCGCTCCACTCGAAGCTCCGCCACGTGTCCAAGAGGCTCTGGTGATAACCTGGCAGCCTTATGTAGTTGACCAGGCTCAGGTCCATCAGGAAGAGCTCCTTTCCGTACCCCAGGCACCCCCCTGCATTCCTCAGCAGGGCGAGGGCCGGCGACTTCCAGGGTAGCTCCTCCTGGTCATACAGCAGCCGCCTTGCGGCCACGAGCCTGAAACTCATGACCCTGGCGGTGACGTCCACCAGACCCTGGCCACCCTCGCCCACTGGCAGGCAGAGAACACCCGGCTTGAGCCGGTGCTTCCCGTGCCAGACAAAGTGCGCGAGTGAGCGGTTGACTCTGGTGAGTAGCCAAGCAGGAGGCTGGAAGGCCTTGGTCTTGTGCCATGGCACGGATGCTGCCAGGGTGTTAGCAAAGAGTATGTGGCCCCTGAAAGACATCTGCAGATCGAGGCGTGCACATGGCAGTAGTTTAGCCTCGATTGTGTCGGCCAGCTCGATCCAGTTATTGAGAACGTGTGGTTTCCCCAGGTGAACCCCCAGGTACTTGACTCCGTCGTCCCGTCAACTGACTCCTCCTGGGAGGAGTACAGAGCGCACGCTGCCTCGTGACCCCAAACACAGAAGGGGCCTCGCACTTGGCCCAGTTGACCCTGGCAGAGGAGGCCCTCTCTCTCTCATACACTGCAACCACCTAGCAGAGTGCGGAGACGTCGTGCGCGTCGTTGAGGACGATGCATGTGTCATCTGCGTAAGCCGAGATCTTGACAGCCGTGTTCTCAGGTCCCGGGACTTTGAGGCCAGACAGATTCCGTCTCAGGTGGCGTAGCAGTGGCTCAATGGACAGGGTGGTACAGCAGCCCCGAGAGGGGGCGTCCCTGTCTGACCCCCCTCGTCACAGTGAAAGGGGCGGAGCCGCTGGTTGATCTTCATGAGGCTGGATGTGCCCGTGTACAGGAGCCTGGCGTGCGAGATGAAGGCCTGGCCGAAGCTGAACGACGTTAGGAGTTTGTCCAGGTGCCCGTGGCTCACCCTGTCGAAGGCCTTCTCCTGATCTAAGAAGAGGAGGCACAAGTCCATGTTGTGTGCTTCTGCAAGGGAGATTACGTCTCTGCACCGACCGGGGATGCAATGCGACTGTTCCGGCACGATCAGCTGATCCAGAACTACTTTGAGACGGTTTGCCAATACCTGAGAGAAGATTTTGTAGTCGGCGCACAAGAGGGACACGGGTCGCCAATTCTCAACAAGGCGCAGGTCCCCCTTCTTGGGTAGCAGGGAGACCACCGCTCTCCTGCAGCTCTGTGGGAGTTCACCCTTCTGCAGGCCTCTCCGTCAACAGATGCAGTCGTGGAGGGCCAAGCTCATCCCAGAAGGCCGCGTAAAACTCAATCTGCAGGCCGTCGATCCCCGGGGCTTTACCAGCTGCAAGCCCTTTCACGGCGGTGTGGAGCTCCTGCGGGGTGATGGGGCTGTCCAGACGATCCTGCTCTGGGACTCCTAAGGTAGGGCCCCCGTCCAGTAGCTCCTGGACAGCCTCGTCGTGTATGGTTTCAGCGGCGAAAAATTGTGAGTAGAAATTCCTGGCGGTCTTGGCGATCTCGCTTTCAGATGTGGCTGTTTGTCCATTTGGAGTTCGCAAACTGGACAGTTTGTTGGTGTTGACTGGTGCTTTGTTGAAGCGGAAGAAAAGCTTAGAGGGAGAGTCCATCTGCGACAGGTGCTGCATCTTTTTGCGCACAAAAGCACGATGTGTTTGCTCGTCGGGGATAGACCGGAAAAGTCGCTGCTTCTCCAGTAGCGTCTCACCCTGCTGTGTGCCGTGGGATGAGCTCAGCTCCGCCTCTAGCGCCAGCAACTCGTTCTGCAGCTGGCGCGCCACCTCGTTCTTGGCGGTGGCATGCTGGCTCATGAACTGCTGACAGAGAGCCCGTTCTGACCTGCGCCTTTGTGTTGTCCTACCAATAGCTGGTGGGAGCCGAAACTACCTTTGGCAGGCAGCCACTATGCCAAAGGGCTTTGAAGGTTTCTTTGAAGTCGGTGTCATCAAGCAGCTGTATGTTGAGTCTCCAGTAGGCGCTGTGCTGCTCCGCTCTGGGAATTCGCAGCAGCACAGAGACCAGGTGGTGATCGGAAAAACCAGAGGGAATGATATTACTGTCCCTGAGCAGGTAAACGCTGCTGGCGTTGACGTACAGTCGGTCGAGCCTGGCAAGGCTCATCCTGCCTTGAGAGCCGCAGCGGCACCAAGAGTACTACCGCTGGGCTGCATGCCGTAGTCGCCACATGTCACGCAGATCCAGCCTCCGCACGAGTTCGGCTAGTGGCCGTGCAGATTCAGGCCGAGGTTCGGCGGTGTTGCGGTCGAGAGTGCAGTTGAAGTCTCCCCCCACGACGGTGAGCACGTCGTCCACGTCGTCTGTCGCAAGCGCATCCCGCAGCGCGCCGAAGAAGAGCTTCTTCTCGGGGGCCTTGCTCGGCGCGTACACGTTAAAGCACCTCAGCCTGGAGCTATTGAGGGACCAAGTCGACAAATCAAGTGACCTTTGACGATTTTTTTGAAGGAGACGTTCTCTGGTGCAAACTGCGAACTGAGCAATCGCCACTCAAGCGAGGTTATCCTCGGCATGGCTGAAGAAGGCCCAGCCGCCTAGAAAAGGCTGGCGTTGGGCCTCCAGAGAGGTGAGTTTCCTGGAGGAGAGTCACATCTGCTTTGTGTTCCCCGACAAGCGGCAGATCTGGTCCCACCTCTTGTCCCTGTGAGTGCTGTTACAGTTCAGACTAGCAACCTTGATAGCTGAAGCCATCGTGTTGGTTGTGTGGTGGTGGTAGTGGTAACAGTACCTGTGGGAGACCGGGTTACTTCTGAGCGGAAGTAAGCTCCCTATTCGCCTTGCACATGAACGCTTTTAGGCGGTAGCGTTTCTGTTTCATGAAACCAAACCTGTCGCAATTGCGGAAAATTTGTTGGGATGCTTTGAGGAAAGCGGTGAGGTCAGGGAAAAAAGCCCCAGCCCTGAAAATATACTTCCTGAAAGTTTGCACTAGGAAGCTTTGGATGTCCCCAGGTGAATAATCGCACTTGCCGTAGACTTGTGAGTAGCTGAGCTCACTCACGTTTCCCACTCCTTCGGTCTCCGACACCTCGTCGTCAGAGTCCTCCAGCTCGTCAAACTGCGACTCGGCAGAAATCTCTTTTGCCGTTGGTGATGGCAGGGCCCCATCGGGAACAGGGTGGCTGCCCTCTGGTAGTGGAGATTCTGTTGCTCTCCCTTCGGGTGAGGTGAGCCGGCCTTCACCGCCTTCCTGCAGCGTGGCACCGGCTGGTGGTTCCTCTTGCCCTGAGGATGCTGCGGCGGCGTGCGGCAGTGGCGGTAGGGGTGGCGGCGGCGCTTTTTTCACCGTGCTGTCCTCAGGCGGGTCGCCATCGAGCATGTCTTCATATTCACCCCCTGCAGAGCCGTCTAGGACGGAGCTCACTGGGGGGCGTTGCTCGTCCTGCTCTGCGACCTTTGGGTAGGGTTCATGATCAGCGGTGGCCACGCGCTTAGGGTTAGGGGCCGCATGGCCTCCTCCTCCGCTGGGGTCGGGCTTCACCCTAGCGCTTGCGCGAGGTGACGAGGGTGAAGCCGTCGTCATCCTCGTCGTCGGTCTGGGGGATTGTGCGACCGGCCGCCGAGTCAGCGGCCTGCTGCTGCAATAGCTGGCACTCATGCTGTGGTGGCTGCTGCTGCTGAGGCTGCTGCTGCTGCGGCTGCTGCTCGTACTGTTGCAGCTGCTGCTGCTGCCACTGCACAGGCTGCGGCGGCTGCTGCTTCTGTTGCTCCTGATGCTGCAGCTGCTGCATCTGCCGGCACTGCTGAGGCTATTGCTGCTGCTGCTGCTTGTGGCTCCTGGTGCTGCAGCTGCTGCATCTGCCGGCACTGCTGAGGCTATTGCGGCTGCTGCTGCTGTGTGATGTTAATCGCAGGATGCACGTTTTTTACTTTTGGTTTGCCTGTGCACTTTGCACGGGCATGGCCGAAGCCACCGCACACGTAGCAGCGTGGCAATAAGGTGGACGCATACATGGTGTAGGCGTAGCCTTTCATCGTGTACTTAAAGTTCACGTTGAGTTCTGTGTTGTTGCCGTTTAAAATCATGAAAGTTTGTCGCTTAAACGACAAGACGTGCGCCAGTTCTGGGTCCCGTGTGCGCACGGGCAGCATAGTGATGCGGGACACAACTTCGCTGAACCGCTCAAGGTCTCGTTGTAGGTCGGCAGTTTTGAGGAAAGGTGGTGGGGCGTTGGAGATGAGCACTTTTTGTGCGGGGGAGAAGAGAGGCATTCATTGCACAAATATCTCCCCCTTGAAGGTGAGCGCCGTGGCGATGACACATGCCACCATCTCCACGTTGGTGAGGAGGACCACGTAGCTGCGGTTCATGCTGCGACGATGACGTTCGGCTGCCCCACACAGTGTCCACGTCGTCCACCTTCATCTCAGGTGGCGGGAAGCAGAACAGTCCGTGTTGGGGGTATTGAGAAGAGAGAGGAACCTTGTAAATAACTAAATAAATCTATGAACTACCTAAATACATTCGTTAGCTGCACGATTTAAAGGAGAGAAAAAGATGACGAGAGGTGGATGGAAAAGCAAGTGGGGTAGAGGGAGGCACAGGGTGTCGTCAGGAGAGAGAGGAGGAGGGGGCAGTGAGAGGTGTGATGGGTGCTGCAGGGGCAGGGAAACACCAGGAATGAAAGGAAGGGGTGAGAAGGAGCAGAGAGGAGAGGAGTGAGAAAGAGGAATAATTTAACTGTTTGCAATAAAGCAGAAAATAGGAAGGATGTAACAGAGAGGGAGGAAGCAGAGGTCGCAAACGGGTTTTCATTCCTTACCCGTACCCGGCCGCACCAAGGTCGCAAACGGGTATCGGTACCCGTACCCGGTCGGGTACGGGTAGCCGGGTATCGGGTAGGGTACAGGTATCGGGTACCCGGTAGCGACCTCTGAGAGGAAGGGTGGTGAGAGCTAGGACTGCGAGCAGCCCACAGGCGTGCCGAGTAACGAGTGTGTTAAGAGGAGAGGTGGGAGACAGCGCGACCCTGTGTTGTTGGAGGCACTCACAGAGGTGGGAGAGAGATGATGAGCACTCGATGGTGCTCAAAGAGAGAAAAGAGTTCGCCGGGAAGTACAAAAAACTCTCTCAGGCGAGGCTAGGTGGCATATATGAAAAACTAGGCCCTCACTAGCAGGTAATGGAAACGCTTGGAGCACGGAAAGACACACCCTCTTCCCAGCATGCAACGGGAGAGAGAGATAGAGAGACTTTTGACTTTTTAAACAACTTTTATTGCCACCAGCAGCTACAGCACTGGAGGCGATTGCGAAACGAAATACAGTCACCAGCAAACTAATAACAAATACTATAAATCCACGCGCTCCAGCCGGAGCCGCGCCTCTGAACACTGGAAGCACAGAGCAGCCATCAGTGTCACCTTGCAACATGTTTTTCCTCGTCTTGTACACCGCCTACTTTGCCTGAGCACAGGCAAAGTTGGCGAAGTCATGGCGCTTGTTAGCCAGGTAAGTCACCCCATATACGAAGCTGCTGTTGTAGAAGGGCACCCTCATTTTAATGAAGACGTCTCCCAAAAGGCGGAACATTGGCTTGAGCCGCTGGCAGTACTGGTGGGGCAGATCCTCCCTGGCACCGCAGGAAATGCACAAGTCTGTTATTCCCGGCAAGATTCGGCTGAGCCACACGGCCGATGGCAACGTACAGTGTGCCAATCTCCACTGGAGGTCACCGCAGCGTTTGGCTACGGGGGAGACTTGTACATTTGTTTCCACTGGGGGACAGCCGCAATAAGGGGCGAGAAATGGTCTCCATTTTGTGTCCGGTAGGTCGGCCAGTTCCCGGGAACGCAGCGCCTTGACACAGTACGTGTAGAGCGCCTTGACACAGCACGTGTAGAGCGCCTTGACACAGTACGTGTAGAGTGCCTTGACACAGCACGTGTAGAGCGCCTTGACACAGCACGTGTAGAGTGCCTTGACACAGCACGTGTAGAGCGCCTTGACACAGTACGTGTAGAGCGCCTTGACACAGCACGTGTAGAGCGCCTTGACACAGCACGTGTAGAGTGCCTTGACACAGCACGTGTAGAGCGCCTTGACACAGCACGTGTAGAGCGCCTTGACACAGCACGTGTAGAGCGCCTTGACACAGCACGTGTAGAGTGCCTTGACACATCACGTGTAGAGCGCCTTGACACAGCACGTGTAGAGCGCCTTGACACAGCACGTGTAGAGCGCCTTGACACAGCACGTGTAGAGCGCCTTGACACAGCACGTGTAGAGTGCCTTGACACAGCACGTGTAGAGCGCTTTGTTTGGGGTGCTCTTCAGGGACACGTTCCTGCAGCCTCGGAGCTTCAGTAGCTTGCCAGAGTCGCTGTGGCCGGGGGTCTGCGTGCAGGAGAAGCACAACTCTCAGGAGACTGAGGTGGGGGATCAAGGACTCCTCAAAGTGCACCTAGCCTGGCACCAGCGCCAACGTAGCTCTGCGGTACTGCGACCAACGTCCTTCCACTCTCTCCTCGTGTCTCCGAACGCTGTCGCTGGGGGGGGGGGGGGGGTCAACCTCTCTGCATTCTGCGTTTCACTTTCTGACGAGATTCACTCGTCAAGCTTGGCATGATGACGACGACGCGGCGTTTGTGTTGCGCATGGCGCGTGCAGTGCCACGTGCAGAACAACGCACGTGCAGTGCCACGTGCCTGCGTGACTCTGCATCGCCATCGGCTCCAGTGCAATTGCTGCCGGCTGCGAGAAAAGTGGTTCAAAAGTCTCTCTCTGTCTCTCTGTCTTTGTCTCTCCGTCTCTCTGTCTTTGTCTCTCTCTCCGTCTCTCTGTCTCTCTGCATTTGTCTCTCTCTCTCCGTCTCCTCCACCTCTGCCACCTCCTCCTCCACCTCCCCTCTCCTTTTTCTCTCCTCTCTCATTTCCTCCTGATCGACTTCCTCCCTTTTTCTCTCCTCCTCCTCCACCACCTCCTCCTCCACCTCCTCCTCCCTCCCCACGCTCACCATGACGAGGAATTCGGTGCTCTTGCCGGTGAGGTCGGTGGTGGTGGCTGCGGCGGCGGTGACCCCCACAGCGGCGGTGACCCCCGCGGCGGCCGCTCCGCGCCGCTCCTCGCGCCGCCAGCTCCGGCCCAGCTGGCCGATGACTCGGCCCGCCTCGTCCTCCGAGTCCAGCTCGCAGAGGTCGCTCATCTCCAGCGGGCGCCGGTAGCCCCGGTAGACCATCCTGGCCGCACGCACGCAGGCGCACGCACGCATGCACACACGCACACACGCACGCACAAACATGCACGCACACGCACGCACACAAACACACACGCACGCACACACGCACACACACGCATGCATGCACGCAGGCACGCACACACACACATGCACGTGCACGCATATACGTGCACGCATGAACACGCACGCACAAAACACAAAGATTCCCTGTATAGGCTTAACAAACTGTTGGGGCAAGTGCTGTTAGCAAGCTCCGATGAAGGTGAAGGCCGGCACGGCACACGAGGGGGTGGGTGGCTAGCACCACGCCCGGCCGCCTTTGTCTCCCTGGTGGCGATGTTCACTACACCGCACCAGGTGCCTAGGGGAGACCCAGGACCGGTTCAAAGACTAGTCAAGGGTGTTGGTGGCCGTGAGCGGGAATCGAACTTGGGTCGCCGGGTTCGTAGCACAGCGTAGCGCTAACCACTACACTACCGCAGCCCACACACACACACGCGCACGCGCACACATTTTCAGAATCGACTTCGCCATCACAAACGATAGGTCGACGAAGTGGGCTCATCATCGTAATCATTCGCGTGGACACTCATAGGGGTAGCCCAAATTGTCGAATTGCCTCATGTTGATTTTAAATGTGGAGGGGAAAACCGGAGGACCTGGAGGAAAATCCAAGCAACCACGGGAAGAGAGAGAGAGACACGCAAACTCCAAATACACAGGCGTCGTCATGGTCGGAATCCAACCCACGACTTCCTGTATACCAGGCGAGGTAGTCAACATCTCGCGATGTTGGCAAGATGCTAACTACCTCGCCTGGTATGCACGAGGTTAAGTTGCCAGTAGCTACAAATGCTATGGGACCCCCTCACTTTCAAGGGCCCCGCGCTAAATGCTTTCAAGCTATCAATTACGGTTCAGTGATTCTGCACTTGCTCTATTACTATAGTACTATACCGCCGTCAAACTTTCGCGAACGACCGGGTGTTTATCTGGCGTGTGTAGCAAAATTAAGAAATACAATTACTTTACTGTGCAAGTAAAAAAATGTGTGTTTTAATATTTGCGTGTTTTTTATTTATTTAGGGCTCCTTTATAACATCATGCTGCAGGCCCCGCGCTAGCGTCATCCGGCACAGACGAGGTTGTGGGTTCGATCCCGACCCTGACGATGCCTGTTGTATTATACATTTCCACACCACGACGATGATGTTTTAACACGGAGGCTTTCGCAACCAATATTATTCATAATCAACGTTTTTGGGTTAGATCGCGTTATTTATAAATCTGTCGTAACCCTCCACCACCCGACACGGCCAATCAGCAAAAAAGTGTCACGTTGAAGGGTTACGACACATTTATAAATAACGCGATCTGACCCAAAAACGTTGATTATGGACGATGATGATGATGATGACGACGATGATGATGATGAAAAGACACTTCGTCTGCCTATCCCTCGCGATAGCCAGGTCGGTTCTGATAAACAGCCGCGTTGCTCAGGGGGTCTCACCTGGCAAAGTGAGTGGCAGTGTCCTTGGTGGTGCAAGTCGTGGTGGTGGTAGTAGTATTGGTGGTGGTCCTATTGGTGGTGGTGGTGGTAGTAGTATTGGTGGTGGTGGTAGTAGGGTTATAGGTGGTGGTAGTGTTATTGGTAGTGATATTGGTGGTTGTCCTATTGGTGGTGGTGGTGTTATTGGTGGTGGTGGTGTTATTGGTGGTGGTGGTGGTGGTGGTGTTGGTGGTGGTAGTGATATTGGTGGTTGTCCTATTGGTGGTGGTGGTGTTATTGGTGGTGGTGGTGGTGTTATTGGTGGTGGTGGTGGTGGTGGTGTTGGTGGTAGGGTTATTGGTGGTGGTGTTGGTGGTAGGGTTCGTAGTGGTGGTGGTGTTATTGGTGGTAGTGTTGGTGGTGGTGGTGGTGTTATTGGTGGTGGTGTTGGTGGTAGGGTTATTGGTGGTGGTGGTGGTGGTGGTGGTGGTAGTGTTATTGGTGGTGGTAGTGTTATTGGTAGTGGTGGTGGTGTTGGTGATAGGGTTATTGGTGGTGGTGGTGGTGTTCGTGGTAGGATTTTTGGTGGTGGTGTTATTGGTGGTAGTGTTGGTGGTGGTGGTGTTATTGGTGGTGGTGTTGGTGGTAGGCTTATTGGTGGTGGTGGTGGTGGTGGTAGGGTTATTGGTGGTGGTGTTGGTGATAGGGCTATTGGTGGTGGTGGTGTTGGTGGTGGTGGTGGTGGTAGGGTTATTGGTGGTGTTGGTGGTGGTGGTAGGGTTATTGGTGGTGGTGGTGTTGGTGGTGGTGGTAGGGTTATTGGTGGTGGTGGTAGTAGGGTTATTGGTGGTGGTAGTGTTATTGGTAGTGGTGGTGGTGTTGGTGATAGGGTTATTGGTGGTGGTGGTGTTGGTGGCAGGGTTATTGGTGGTGGTGGTGTTATTGGTGGTGGTGTTGGTGGTAGGGTTATTGGTGGTGGTGGTGGTGGTAGAGTTAGTGGTGGTTGTGGTGGTGGTGATGGTAGGGTTAGTGGTGGTGGTGGTGTTGGTGGTAGGGTTATTGGTAGTGGTGGTGGTAGTGTTAGTGGTGGTGGTGGTGGTGTTGGTGTTGGTGGTAGGGTTATTGGTGGTGGTGGTGGTAGTGTTAGTGATGGTGGTGGTGGTGGTGTTGGTGTTGGTGGTAGGGTTATTGGTGGTGGTGGGGTTGTTGGTGTCGGTGGTCGGACGGAGTGACAATGGCACGGGGCACACTGACTTGTCAAACCAGGTGAAGGTGATGAGGTTGAGGAAGGACGCTCGCGCCGTGGGGTTCGGTTTCTGCAAAAGAGAAACGGCACAGACGTGGGGCCTTCTGCAGGAACCATTCAGCTTTTACCGCCACCACCACCACCACCAACAACGCCACCACCAACAACACCGGCACAGCCACCATCAACACCGGCACAGCCACCACCACTACCACCACCAACAACGCCACCACCACCAACACCGGCACAGCCACCACCACTACCACCACCACCGCTGCAACTACCGCCACCACCACCGCCACCACCACTGCCACCACCACCGTCACCACTACTGCCACCACCATAGTCACCACCACCGCCACCACCATCGCCACCACCGCCACCACCTCCACACCACCACCGCCACCACCATCGCCACCAACAACCGCCACTAAGTGGTGGTGACGTCACCACGTCGCTTGTGCCAGGCTATGTGCACGTTGAGGCCACGTGAAGTCTCGAACGCCCGCCGGCAGGAGGTTACGGGGCAGACCCAGGTGCCACGGGTCGACTGACTGAGATGACTGAGATGACTGGCTGATGCATAACCTGTGGCTCCTACTTTGCCAACTTATTGTGCTTTAGCCACATGTCGCTCCGCTCGTTGTTGTGAGCATCGCTCCTCCGCCCCCCATTGTTGTTGGAGGGCGACTGCCTCCAACTGCCCAGTAGCGTCCTTCACGAGCCTCCTCCACTGAGGCCGATCTTGACACCGCTGGTACCAGTCATCGGCAAGTCCACTCAGCTCCACGTCCTCCTGTACCACATCACTCCATTTCTTCTCTAGCCCGTGCCGCGCCCGTTTAGCCCCCTCTATCCGTTGGAACAAAAGCTGTTAAGGCATGTGGTGACTGGGCATGGGGGCTACAAGACCCAGCCAACGCAGCCTTGCCCGCCGGAGGAGCTCACCAATGGGACTTTGTCCAGATTTTTCAAGGATTTTTGAGCTCCTCACACAATCCAGCCTGGTTAAACCCAGAATGGATCGTAGGCAGCCCAGCCTAAATGTTTCTAACCGGCGAAGATGTACAATTAGGGGGGTCCACGTTTTGCAAGCGCAGAGAAGGGAAGGAATGACCATGGCCGAGAAGACCTGAAGCTTCGTGCGGAGCGTCAGACCAGGTAGCTTCCACACAGCGTTACGCAACTGATGAAAAGATAATGCCACTCGACTGATTTGGAGTGAGACCTCTGCTGTCAAACCGGAGCCGGTCATTAGCACACTGCCCAGGTATTGGAAACTCTCCACTCTCTCCACAACTGCCCCATCACCAATTGGGTGTTGTGGGGGTGGAGTGCCCGATGGTACAAAATACCCGGGCAGGTGCTTAGTTTTGGTGGGGCTGATGGTAATTCCCCACCTCTTAGTGGCACGATCCAGGTTCAGCAGCAGTGCCTCCAACTCCTCCTCGGAGTGAGCGGCAATTACCAGATCATCGGCATACATAACATGGTTTAGCAATAGGGAGCCATTCGATCAGCCTCCCATTGTATCTGTACCAGATGGAAATTCCTCCGATACAGCCATCAAAGGCATCGCGAACTACGTGGTCGAAATAGATGTTAAATAATGTGGGAGCCAGAGGACATCCCTGTCGCACCCCAAGGTGTACAGGGAATGGCTCCGACTACCGGCCACGTAGTTTTACCCGGGCCCGCTCACCATCATGAAGGTTCTTAATGATCGTGAGCAGCGGGTAAGGCACTCCGAAAGCACGAAGAATAACCCAGAGTCCAGGCCTACTGATGGTGTCATAGGTCTTGACCAGGTCAATAAAGCAGAGATGTAGATTTTGTTAGAATTCGCTACACTTCTGCTATAGCAGACGGACAGAAAATATGGCATCTGTGCAGGACCGCCCTTTCCTGAAACCGCATTGGGGCTCCGCAAGCCTCTCCTCAGCGTGCCTAGCAAGGCGATGTTGAATAATCCTTGCCAGGACCTTAACCGGCACACTGAGGAGTGAGATGCCCCTGTAGTTGTTACAGTCGGAACGGTCCCTCTTGTTAAAGAGGGGGACCACCAGGGCATCCTTCCCATCCTGCGGAACCTGTCCAGTGGCCCAGACTGTTGTTATGATCTCATGTAGGGCAGTCTGTGTACAAACGCCACACTCCCTCAGCATTTCGCTTGGGAGATCATCTCTGCCCGGTGCTACCGCCACCACACCACCACCACACCACTGCCACACCACCACTGCCACCACCGTCACCACCCCCCCACCACCACCACCACCGCCACCACCGTCACCATCACCACCACCGTCACCACCACCACCGCCATCACCACCACCACCGTCACACCACTACCGCTACCACCGCCACCACCACCACCGTCACCACCACCGTCACCACCACCGTCACCACCACCACCGCCACCACCACCACCACCGTCACCACCACCGTCACCATCACCACCACCACCATCACCACCGCCAACATCACCACCACCGTCACCATCACCACCACCACCATCACCGCCACCATTGTCACCATCACCACCACGACCACCGTCACCACCACCACCGTCACCACCACCACCACCATCACCGCCACCATTGTCACCATCACCACCACCACCACCGTCACCACCACCACCACTGTCACCACCACCAACCATCACCACCGTCACCACCACCATCACCGTCACCACCACCATCACCACCACCACCATCACCACCACCACCGCCACCACCACCCAGCGCTCGTACAAATTGGCAGGGCTTGGTCTCCTCGGGCTCGCTGGCCGAGTCGGCGAAGGCCGACAGGACGAGGGCGTGGACCTGGAGGCCGAAGGAGACGAAGAAGACCCAGTGGCGCTCCCCGCCGCCAGCGACCTGCCGCACAGCCACAAACAACAACAACAACAACCACGTGATCAATAACTACAACAACAGCAACAACTAAGCGATCAATAATGACGTCAATAAATACAACGTAATCATTAACTACGCGATCAATAACGCGATAAATAACTACAACGTGATCAAGGACTGCGCGATAGATAACTAAGTGAACAATAACAGCAATATGTTCAATAACTATGCGATCAATAAAATAAGAAATAACCGTGCGGTGATCATAACACCGATCAACAACTACGTAATAACGTTATGATCAATAACATTATGATGAAGGCATAGCACGTGATCAATAACAACATGATCAATGTCGCGAGCAATACCTACAACGTGATCAATACCTACAACGTGATCAATACCTACAATGTGATCAATACCTACATGATCATGAGAACGTGATCAATAGAAACGCGTTAACTTACCCCATCGAGTTGGAACCACATCAACCACTCACCCCATGGGGGGTCAAACCACATCAACCACTGACCCCATGGGGGCCAGCCACACCAACCACTCACCCCATGGGTGCCCAGCCACACCAGCCACTCACCCCTCGTGGGGTCAACCACACCAACCACTCACCCATCGTGGCCCAGCCACACCAGCCACTCACCTCATGGGGCCCAGCCACACCAGCCACTCACCCCATGGGGGCCAGCCACACCAGCCACTCACCCCATGGGGTCCAGCCACACCAACCACTCACCCCATGGGGGCCAACCACACCAGCCACTCACCCCATGGGTCCAGCCACACCAACCACTCACCCCATGGGTGCCCAGCCACACCAGCCACTCACCCCATGGTGGGTCATCCACACCAGCCACTCACCCCTCGTGGGGTCATCCACACCAGCCACTCACCCCTCGTGAGGTCAAGCCACACCAGCCACTCACCCCATGGGGTCCAGCCACACCAGCCACTCACCCCCGCCAGGAGCTGCCGCACCAGCGTCTGCAGGGGCAGCGCCCCGCACAGGACGAGCAGCAGCCAGAAGAGGAAGAGGAGGCCACCGCCGCCACCGCCGCCACCACCACGGCGACGCGCCACCTCGCCCAGCACCAGCAGAAGCAGCTGGCGACACAACACACAGGGTACACACAACACACAGGGTAAACAACAACAACACAACAACACAGGGTAAACAACTCAACACATGGGACACAACAACACGCAGAGTACACACCAACGGACAAGGTGGGCGGGTGAGTCAACATCTTACTTTATACAATGTGTGTGTGTATAGAGGTTTGTGTGTATAGAGGTGTGTGTGTGTATAGAGAGGTGTGTGCCGGACGGGCAACTCTGTCGTGGACAGTGCTGTGGACGGAGGGCTAATTCCGATTGGCTTATCACCTCATGGCGTCTGTGACCAGCACAGTGGCTAAACTGGGGCTCTGGACGGGTGCGAAGGGCTGGTAACCCCTCCACCTTCAATAAATTACCACTAAACCACGAATTAAATATGTAACTAATAAGCTTCTGCCGGAGGCCCCGGGGGGACAGGCGTCTATGACGTCTCCTGGCCAAACCCCATTTGGCGGAGCCAGGAGATTCAATCTTTACACTCGGGGCTCCTCCAGAAACAACAAAAAGCCACTTCGTGTGGCCACGTGGAATGTTCGAACGCTCACTGTGGAGGAGAGGCTGCCACTCCCCGCCTGGATCTGGGCATTCAGGAGGTCTGGTGGACCGACTCTGGCTCCTGCCACCATGAGGGGTGGACAGTACTCTACTCGGGGCAGGAGACTGACAAACAACAGTGTGTGGCTATTCTTCTGAACAAAAGAATGAATGGGGGCGTGGGAGCGTGGCGGTGAGGTGTGGGAAGCTGTAAGCCCCAGGCTACTTTGGGCTCGCCTTCCCATCAACCGGAGGCGAGGAGTGGTAGTCGTGGTTACTTATGCCCCCACCGAAGACGAACATCCGTGGAGGGATGCAGGCAAAGCCGATGAGTCAGATGCCGTCTATGACCTCTGGTCACAGGTGCTGGCTAATGTGGCCTCTCGGGATAGAGTCATCTTGTTCGGTGACTTAAATACTTGAGTTGGACATGATGCTGCTACCTGGTCTGGAGTGATTGGAAGGCATGGGCCAGATCAGCTCAATAACAACAGTAGGAGGCTGTTAGAATTGTTGTGCAGCCCATGGGCTTGTAATTACCAACACGCTCTTCCGGCATCGGCGCATCCACACAACATCATGGATGCATGCCGAGTCCAAGCAAGAACATCTGCTGGACTACATTGTGACGAACCAGCGGATGCGAGCCCATGTCCTTGACACCAGGACCTACCGTGGAGCTGATCTGCCCACTGACCATCGACTAGTCATCTGTAAGATGCGCCTGCCATTCTTCCACTCCGGTGGTGGGTGTACACCCAGGACCCTATTCCAACCTAAAGTGGCATGGTCTCAGCTGATGAAAGTTGCAAGCAAGAATTTAATCATCGCTTGCAGCTGGGATTTGCATTACCCCCCCATGTCGAGGGTAAATGGGCGAGGTTTAGGACTGTGGCTCATGCAGCTGCAATGGCTGCTTTGGGTACGCGGTCCAGATCTCCCCAGAGACCCTGGCTGACAAAGGAGGTGTTCAGGATAGTTGAGAAAAAGCGACAGGCCCACTCTCATCGGCTACAGCATCCCACATCACAGAATGAGGAGGTTTACCGCAGCCTTCGCTCGGAGGATCGGAGAGCCGTGAGGCGCTGCAAGGATGGGTGGTGGTCGCGGGTTGCTGAGGAGGTGGAATCTGCCTCAGTGGCCCGCGATCACAAATCACTATTTAACTCCATCAAAAAAGTAACCTGCAGCACCACACCTATTACCATCATTAGGGGAAAAAAACGGTGATCCAATCTCCGACCCCCAGGAACAGATTTGCCGATTTGCTGAGCATTTCTGTGAGGTCCTGGGAGAGGGGAAATCCCTCATCCAGGAAAACATTGTGCCACAAAGTGGGGATGACCCTGCTGAGGCTGCGGTGCCTCAAATATGGGAAGAAGTCACCCCCTGTGAGTGGCTGGCTGAGGTGCCATCTGTTGAGGAAGTATTGAAGGCGATCCAGAGTCTGAGACCAGGAAAGGTCCCGGGCAGAGATGATCTCCCAAGCGACATGCTGAGGGAGGGTGGCGTTTGTGCACCGACTGCCCTACATGACATCATAACAACAGTCTGGACTACTGGACAGGTTTCGCAGGATTAGAAGATTGTCCTGGTGGTCCCCCTCTTTAAGAAGGGGGACCGCACAGACTGTAACAACTACAGGGGCATCTCACTCCTCAGTGTGCCGGGAAAGGTCCTGGCAAGGATTATTCAACATCGCTTTGCTAGGCACGCTGAGGAGAGGCTTGCGGAGCCCCAATGCGGTTTCAGGAAAGGGCGGTCCTGCACAGATGCCATATTTGCTGTCCGTCTGCTACAGCAGATGTGTAGGGAATTCCAACAAGACCTACATCTCTGCTTTATTGACCTGGTCAAAGCCTAGGATACCATCAGTAGGCCTGGGCTCTTGGTTGTTCTTCGTACTTTCGGAGTCCCTGACCCTCTGCTCACGATCATTAAGGACCTTCATGATGGTGAGCGGGCCCGTTTAAAACTACGGGGCCAGGAGTCAGAACCATTCCCTGTTGACCTTGGGGTGCAACAGGGATGTCCTCTGGTTCCAACATTATTTAACATCTATTTCGAGCACGGAGTTCGTGAAGCATTCAGTAGCTGTACCGGCGGAATCTCCATCTGGTACATATATAATGGGAGGCTGATCGATGCCCGGGTGCAGTCGAGGGATGGCTCCCTATTGGTCAACCACATTATGTATGCCGATGATTTGGTAATAGCTGCTCACTCAGAGGAGGAGTTGAAGACGCTGCTGCTGAAACTGGAGCATGCCACTAAGAGGTGGGGCCTTACCATCAGCCCCACCAAAACTACGCACCTGCCTGGGTATTTTGTACCATCAGACACTCCACCCCCACAACTCCCAATTGGTGATGGGACAGTTGTGGAGAGAGTGGAGTGTTTCCCATACCTGGGCAGTTTGCTTATGACCGGCTCTGGTCTAACAGCAGAGGTCTCACTCCGAATCAGTCGAGCGGCATTATCTTTTCATCGGTTGCGTAGCGTTGTGTGGTAGCAACCTGGACTGTCGCTCCGCACGAAGCTTCAGGTCTTCTCGGCCACAGTCATTCCCTCCCTTATCTACGCTGCGAAACGTGGACCCCCCTAATAGAACATCTCCGGTGGTTAGAAACATTTAGACTGGCCTGCCTACGATCCATCTTGGGTTTAACCAGGCTGGATTGTGTGGGAAGCTCACAAATCCTCGAAAGAGCTGGACTTAGTCCCATCGGTGAGCTCCTCCAGCAGGCAAGGTTGCGTTGGCTGGGCCATGTAGCCCGCATGCCCAATCACCGCATGCCCAAACAGCTTTTGTTTGGCCGGATCGAGGGGGATAAACGGGTGCGGCACGGGTTAGAGAAGAGATGGAGTGATGTGGTACAGGAGGACGTGGAACTGAGTGGACTTGCCAATGACTGGTTCCAGTGGTGTCAAGATCGGCCTCTGTGGAGGAGGCTCGTGATCCCGCTACTGGGCAGTTGGAGGCAGTCGCCCTCCAACAACAACGGAGGGCGAAGGAGCGACGCTACCACCAACGAGCGGAGCGCCGGGTGGCTAAAGCACAGCAAGTTGGCACAGTAGGGGGCACAGGTGGTGCATCAGCCAGTCATCTCGGTCATCTCAGTCATCTCAGTCAGTCGACCTGTGGCACCTGCTGGGTCTGCCCCGTGACCTCCTGCCAGCGTGCGTTCAACACTTCACGTGGCCTCAAGGTGCACATGGCCTGGCACAAGCGTCGTGGTGACGTCACCACCACTTAGTGGTGAATGGCAGTTGTTGTTGTGTATATATAGAGGTGTGTGTGTGTATATAGAGGTGTGTGTTTGTGTGAAAACACAATCGTCTGTCCGCTTATCCGGCAACACATACAGAAGGTGTCAAGAAGTTCAAACGACCCAAAGAGGCACACGCAGTACCCGTTGTCGCAAGGCATCATCGAGTCCACGTGAACCACACATCATCAAGCGTGTGGTAAAAACATGCATGCAAGCGTGCTTCGGTATCGTACTAACTATGAGTTTTCATGATTCTACCAGGTCAGCTCCCACTGAGCTATGTAGCTGTTTTTGAGAAGCGACCTGACCCACAATCGCGGCTCGACAATGTTGCTTATTATCATCAACATCATCGCCGCGTGGAAGTGTACAGCGGCAGCCAAACAACTCTGAACGCGCGGTGACGTTGATTCTAGTTGTGGTGGGGATAAACCGGAGAACCCGGAGACAAAACTCCACGCGGCCATGGGGAGAGAGAGAGACGCAGACTCCAAATATACAACAGCAGGCAACGTCAGTCGGGATCGAACCCACGACCTCCTGCGTACCAGACGAGGTAGTTAACATCTCCTAGCCACCGCGGTGTGCGGGCAGTCCTCGGGTTACCAACGGAATTCGTTCCTGAGAGCCGCTCGTAAGCCGAACGGCTCCTAAGTGGGAACACAACGACAATGGGCCGATCAGTCACCAGAGAGACGGACAACCTCTGCCATGGCCTTGTCTGTCTGCGCCGCCGGTGTTAGACCGGAGAACAACGCCCCAAAAGGCGAACAGCACAAGAACTATGCAATCAAACGTGATTGGATACTAATAATAATCGATTACCATCGATTATCATCGATTATATTATTATCCGGTCGCTTCGGGGGCAGGGGATGCTGGATTTTCAAAAACGCCGGATAATCACTAAATCATCTATTAAAAAAAGTAAAATATTGTCTGTTTGTGGGTTTGTGTCTGACTTTGTGTGTGTTCGCGCACTTGCGAATGATTTAACTCTCCAACAGTGGAGTTCACGCTAAACAAGTAAACCCGTAAAAACTAAGTTTTTCACTATAAATCCTTTATATGCGTGGCGGCGAACTTAATATAAAGGATTTAAAAATATATTCGCCTGTGGAGGACGCGGGGATCGATCCCACGACCTTTGGCATGGGAAGCGAGGGTGCTACCAACTGCGCTACTCCACCACGGCCTGTGGAGGGGTTACGCTCTGGGCTCTTACACTCTGACGTTCAGCCAAAGCCATGAATGCGTTCTATTTGAATATATGTAAAATAATTTTTTTTTGCCTAAAAAGTGTAAAATTTTGGGAATTTTTTTTCACGAACAATAATTGTCTGGCACAACGAGTCTGTGTGGAAAATGTCAGCTCGATTGGATCACCGGAAGTGGGTTAAAAAACGACCGAAAGATTTGCACGGTCCTAAGCAAGCAAGCACGCAAGCACGCAAACTTAATAATAAGGATTTAAAATAAGTAAACCCGTAAAAACAAAGTTTTTCACTCTAAATCCTTTATATGCGTGGCGGCTAGAGTTCTCTCGTCCTCTGGCTTGAGATGGCTGCAATCTATGGGTCAGATGATTGTCTGCCAGTATTAAGCAATTGGTAATTAAATATTTAATTTATTTTCCCTAAACAGTGTAAAATTTTGGAAAAAAAAATTCACGAAAATTAATTGTCACACACAACGAGTCTGTGTGGAAAATGTCAGCTCGATTGGATCACGGCAAGTGGGTTAAAAAACGAGCGAAAGATTTGCACGGTCGTAAGCAAGCAAGCAAGCACGCGAACTTAATATAAAGGATTTAAAAAGGTACCACGCCGTGAGCTCCGCGGTGAGCAAGCGCTTTTCCTTTTTCACATCCGTCAAATTTAAATTAGATTAATCAGCGATTTAGTGCGATTTTTGTGCGCTTTCCATTTAATTATTTAATTGTTTACTTATGACGCTGTGCACGACCGCACCAACTCACGCGCCTTTGGTGGGGGGGACGGCCCATGCCAAGTCGCACGCCTTCGGTGGGAGTGAGGGGGACGTTTTCTTTCGTGTTAAAAATGCTATAAAAATACACTAAACGCTGACATTAATGCTTCACTGTGTGATGTCCCCCCCCCCCACCCCGATGCGTGCAGTTACTACTATACAGTCGGTAGATGCTACCACTATAGGCCGTAGATATTACTGCAGAGCGGCCGAAGAGATCATGGTTGGGGGGGGGGGGGTCAGTGGTAGCAGCCCAACCTGCCAAGGTGCCACCTCGGCCGGCTGGACAATCTAGGCGAGGCCAGAGGCTCTGCACGGGACTAGGCCTCACCACGCCACTCTGTCAGGTAAGTACTTTGTGCTATAGAGTCGATAAATACTGCTATAGAGTCAGCATGTACTACTGTAGTGATAGCACCACAGTCGGTATGCACTGCTGTAATCATAGCAGGTACCTCCACAGTCAGTACGCACTGCTGTTACATTTTTAAGAGTAGTTTTGAGAAAAAAAAATTGGCCCGGGCAACGCCGGGTATGTAAGCTAGTGAGTGATTCTTTAAAATAGCTTATTTGTTTTGCACATTTTGACATTGTTTTCGGTGTTGTGTATATGTTTTTTTTGCGTGTGTTTTAAACGTGTTTGCGATATGAAATTGTCATAAACATACGGATAGACAACAATGAATATCCGACTGTATGAAGTTACCATAATAACTGTACCGTACTTACTACTACAATATGCATGGGCTGACGCATGTCTCTATATATATACGTGCAGTACTTTTCATTGTTTAAGTTGTATGTAGTGTAGAGTGTAGTGTACGCAATATTTGACACGGGCCTAGTCTCACACCACCGGTGCTAGGCCAGAAAACAACGCTGAATAGCGACTAGTTCAAAGACAATGCCAGTATTGGAACACTCATATCAGTTATATCTATGGGATGCGTTCTTGCCAACTGTAAGTGTTCTGATACTTGCATTGAAATATATTCTTCGTTTTTCATCATTTTCGATGCTGGCAAAAAGGTCCCATAGATATATATTAGTACATATATTTTGTCATTTTCATACTGGCTTAAAATGGGTTGGGGTAGTGATAGAGAGGGGTAGTGATAGGGGTTGGGGAAGTGATAGGGGTTGGGGTAGTGATAGGGGTTGGGGTAGTGATAGGGGTAATGATAGGGGTTGGGGTAGTGATAGGGGTAGGAGTAGTGATTGGGGTTGGGGTAGTGATAGGGGTTGGGGTAGTGATAGGGGTTGGAGTAGTGATTGGGGTTGGGGTAGTGATAGGGGTTGGGGTAGTGATAGGGGTAGGGGTAGTGATATGGTAGGGTTAGTGATAGGTGTAGGGTTAGTGATAGGGGGTCTCTATGCGAGTCTGTGGGTCTCTGAGCGAGCCCATGAGCCCAGGTGGGTGCTGAAGTAACAGCACCACTGACAGTAACCACACGGGGTATGGTGTGGGTGCTTGCCCACCCCCAAACTCACCCAGGTGAGCATGTAGAGGCACGGGTTCACGTAGAGCATGGGGGCCGAGACGTCGCACGGCTTTGGGTCGCACATCGGCCCGAAGTCCTCCGACAGGGTGATGCCCAGTGCCGCCACCGCGGCCACGAAGAGCAGCACCAACGTGACCTGCACGGGAACGGGGGTGAGTTGTCAAGGCCGTCACACTCGCAGAGCTCGCAAACTGGTTTTGATACCTTACCCATACCCGTACCCGGCCGCACCAGGGTCGAAAACGGGTACCCATACCTTACCCGATACCCGGCTACCCGTACCCGGCCGGGTATAGGGTAGGGTACGGGTACGAGTACCCGATTGCGACCTCTGGGATGAAGCCATGTTGCAAGCGCGGGTGGGTTGATTCTAGGAACTTGAATTGTGAGAAGAGACAAGACGTTGGGAAATGAGTGACAAACAGTTACTCACCAGTGTCTCACGGCCTACCCCTAACCGTCTGCACCAGGGTCGCAAACGGCTACCCGTACCCGGCCGGGTACGGGTATCGGGTAGGGTACGGGTATCGGGTAGGGTACGGGTATCGGGTACCCAGTTGCGACCTCTGCGCACTCATCACGCACAAAGTTGGCTGGGCCACGAGTGGACCTTGCGGCACCTCGCCGCTGGTCTCGTCAGCAAAAGGAGCTTCCAGCCATCTCCACGCGGAACTCCTCCGCTCGTCATCCTCGCAGCAGCAACAGCAGTAGCAGCAGCAGCAGCAACAGCAGCAGCAACAGCTTCCAGCATACCCGAGCCTGCTGCTTCGTCGCTCGCCCACCGCCACAGGACTTGGATAATGACGATGGTAAAAAACGTGCCTAGACTTGCGCAGAGAACTTGGATTTAAGCGAGGGTGATTTGCGCAGCGTCAACCTCACTCTCTCGACCAGCCCCATCTGTACTCAGTGGCAAGACGTAGTCAAGACGACTGGAGATGGTCCTGGTTGCAGTGGAAGGTCCAAAAACATGATCTGCTGCTGATGCAGACTGTTTTAAAAAGGTTTGAAATGGGTGTAGCCCAAGGGTCATAAAGAAGTGGCCGGGGCTAGTGATGTGAATGTGAGAGATTAGCATGTAGCTGTAAGATAGGAGAGCGGCCTCCTCGACCAGGGCACGGAAGTGTCTATGTTAATGTGAGAGATTAGCATGTTAATGTGAGAGATTAGCATGTTAATGTGAGAGATTAGCATGATGTCAATGTGAGAGATTAGCATGATGTTGATATCAGGAATCACATCCTTTACAGATGGGATTAAATCACGGAGTTTGTGTATTGTGTTGAAACGAACCTGGATCTTGTGTTTGTTTAAGATTTTGGAAATATTTTTGGTAACCCCTGCTATGTACGGTAAAAGTGATGGTATTGGTTGGATCCTCAGAAGGTTGTCTCTGCATGGCTGGGGAGACAGCTTTGCAGATTGTATGGTCCGAGTATCCATTCATCCTGAGGGCTTGGTGTATGTGCTCCAACTCACTGGCTAGGTGTTGCTGGTCGGAGATGCAACGGGCCCTATGGTGTAGGGTTTTGATGAGGGAATTCTTCTGGGCTGGATGGTGGTGGGAGTCAGGCTTTAGGTAGGCATCCATGTGGGTGGCTTTCCTGTAGACCGAATGTCCCAACGAGCCATCAGGTCTCTTCTCCATCAAAACATCCAGGAATGGTAGCGTGCCATCCTTTTCCACTTCCATGGTGAATTTGATAGATGGGTGTACGGAATTGATGTCATTGAGAAATTGGTTCAGTGCTGGCAGGCCATGTGGCCAGATGAGAAACGTGTCATCTACGTGTCTCTTCCACAAGGAAGGACGTAGGGTGGATGTCTGGATGGCATCTGTCTCAAATTTTTCCATGAAAAAAATTCGCTACCACTGGCGATAAGGCAGAACCCATTGGGGTACCCTCATTTTGTTTGTAGGTGCGCACGTGCGTAAGTGAGCGTCCACGCACGTGGATAACGCGTCGTGAACATTATCTCGACCCCGCTCACTAAAACAACAAACATCGTAAATGCGTAGAAGCGCGTCTGATGCACAGCAGTTAAGAGGCCAAAGGTAGCGTAATGATACACAACAACGATACACAACGACACACACAGCGATGCAAGATACACATCAACAATACACAATGACACACCACCGATACACACGAACAATACACAACGACACACAACAGCGATACACAGCAACGTTACGCAACTATACATAACAAGGACACACAACAACAACACAACGCGGGCAACAACCACACTTCATGAAGTGTCGCTGCTGCTGCTGCTGCTCTTGCACCGAGAGCGTGAATGGCTGTTCTGCCTCACGGCAGGAGGTTTACCTCACAGCAGATGGAGGGGGGGGCGTATGTACACAGGAATTTCCTGTTATTGATGCTAATTTTGGTCACGTGACCAGGAAGTTGCGATTTAAGATTCCCGCTCAACCACGCGGGCGTCGGCCATTACACACATAATTCAAGATGGCGGCACACATCGCGTCCCAGAGAAGCCAGCCGCAATTGTCCATTGTGGGACCTTAAGAATCATTGTCTGTAAGTTCGTTTATGTTCTTATAATATTGGCAATGCTGTTATAATGTTAGAATGACCGTTATAAGGATGTAAATGCCTTTATAATGCTGTTAAATTGTTATGATAAATACGAGGCCTAGTTAACAACGAAGCCTGCAACTTTCCTTATTGTGAATGTTACTTGTAATCTAATAAGTCGAGTCAGACTTGTACCCAAGTAACTTTATTGCGATCTGGAGAGCAAGGATGACAAAATGTCTCATTCATAGTGCAGTGTTATGTGTAGTACTGTGCATCTGGGGTGCAGTGTGATGATTACACGGTGTGCCTTATGTAACACAGCAGCTTATGCTCTTGTATAGTTGTTCAGTGGTAATGCAGGTGCCTGCCCCCTCCAGGGTCTATTGTTGAGAAACATGTTATCTAAGACAATTTTATGATGCTGTGGTATCATTCATTGTGTTGGTGTTTCCGGGTTATAACAGATGATGTATCTGTGTTTTCTCACCAGTGTTACCTCGTTAAAACCAATAAATGACGTTTGGAGTCGGATGTTCACCCTGGCTCCGAGGGTTTATTGGACGCGAGGTTATCTACTCAGCTAGCGGTGCAACGCAGCGCACAGCGAGGCCGAGACAATGGCCACGTGTGGTGTTCAATACTGATGTAGAGGAGTAGTGGGTGACATCACGTCACGTGGGTGACATCACGTCACGCTCGCCCTCGGAGAGAGTGGCGTCGCGGGACGTGACGTCAGGCGGGCCGTGGAGGACGGTGACATCAAGCCCCCAGGGGGTATTTAAAGGGGGACCCGGGATGGAAGCAGGGTTCGTCGGGGGTGGGAGTGGGGACTCTGGGTAGGTGATCCACACACGAGGCTACGGGAGGCTACGCCACCCGACCGGCCGAGGTTGGGGGTGGTCTCCGGGCCAGGGCAGGGTGGAGAGCCGGGCTAACTGTGGTGAAGGGATCACAGTCCCCTGTCCCCTGGGGGAGTTATTGGCTAGGGGGGTGTTGGTTCGGCATAAGCCTTATCCACCTCGCGTAAGCCCTGAACAACTTGGCGAAAGCCCTTAAATAAACGTGCCGTGAGCCCCTAACAGCAACCTGCCTCGGAGTCGTGGATTGCACCTCAACACTTACACCGCCTGTGTATGTGTTGTGTGTGTGTTGTGTGTGAGTTGTGTGTATGTTGTGAGTGTGTTGTGTGTGTGTTGTGTGTGTGAGCTGTGTGTGTGTTGTGTGAGTTGTGTGTGTTGTGTGTGTGTTGTGTGTGTGTTGTGTGGGTTGTGTGCGTTGCGTGTGTGTTGTGTGTGAGTTGTGTGTTTTGTGTGTTGTGTGCAGTCATTGGTGAACGGGCTGAGATCGTGAACTCCTTTGTTGCATTTGAGTACCGGGTTTAAATCTTGGAGGTAAGGTGAGTCTATGGCTCTCTATGTGAGTCTATGGCTCTCTGTGTGAATCTATGGCTCTCTGTGTGAGTCTATGGCTCTCTGTGTGAGTCCATGGCCCTCTGTGTGAGTCTATGGCTCTCTGTGTGAGTCTATGGGTCTTTGTATGAGTCTATGGCTCTCTGTGTGAGTCCATGGCCCTCTGTGTGAGTCTATGGCTCTCTGTGTGAGTCTATGGCCCTCTGTGTGAGTCTATGGCTCTCTGTGTGAGTGTATGGGTCTCTGTGTGAGTCTATGACTCTCTGTGTGAGTCTATGGGTCTCTGTGTGAGTCTATGGCTCTCTGTGAGAGTTTATGGGTCTTTGTGTGAGTTTATGGGTCTCTGTGAGAGTATATGGGTCTCTGTATGAGTCTATGTATCTCCGTGTGAGTCTGTGTCCCTGTGGAAGTCTATGGGTCTCTGTGGGAGTCTATGGGTCTCTGTATGAGTATATAGATCTGTGCATGAGTCTATAGATATCTGTGTGATGAGTCTATGGGTCTTTGTTTGATGAGTATATGGGTCTCTGTGTGGTGAGTCTATAGGTGTCTGTGCAGTGAGTCTACGGATCTCTGTGTGCATCTTTGTGTTCCTGTGTGAGTCTACGGGTCTCTGTGTGAGTCTATGGATATTTGCGTGAGTGAGCCTATGGTTCTCACACAGAGACCCATAGACTCACACAGAGACCCATAGACTCATCACACAGAGTTTCGTAAACTTGCATAGAGAGCCATAGACTAACATAGTTCCCCACAGACTCATCATATTGAGACCCATATACTCACGCAGATAGACATAGACTCACAGAGAGAGCCATAGACTCACACAGAGAGCCATAGACTCACACAGAGACCCACAGACTCACACAGAGACACATAGACTCACACAGACACCCCTAGACTCACTAAGAGAACCATAGACTCACACAGAGAGCCATAGACTCACACAGAGACACATAGACTCACACAGAGACACAGAGACTCCCTGAGAGAGCCATAGACTCAGACAGAGACCCATAGACTCACACAGAGACACATAGACTCACACAGAGACACATAGACTCACTCAGAGACCCACAGACTCACACAGAGACACATAGACTCCCTGACAGACCGATAGACTCACACAGAGACCCATAGACGCACACAGAAACCCGTAGACTCACACAGAGACACATAGACTCACTAAGAGACACATAGACTCACACAGAGACACATAGACTCACACAGAGACACATAGACTCACTAAGAGACACATAAACTCACACAGAGACCCATAGACTCACACAGAGACACATAGACTCACACAGAGACCCACAGACTCACTCAGAGACCCACAGACTCACACAGAGACCCACAGACTCACACAGAGACCCACAGACTCACACAGAGATACATAGACTCACACAGAGACACATAGACTCACACAGAGACCCATAGACTCACACAGAGACCCATAGACTCACACAAAGACACATAGACTCACTAAGAGAACCATAGACTCCCTGAAAGACCCATAGACTCACACAGAGACACAAAGATCTCTGCTAGTTTCACGACACCCCGCAACATTGCAATATCCCTTACATTGCCTAGGCTAGTGTTTGTATTTTATCGTTGTTATCCCGTCAGTTTGTTTCCGTTATTGCCCATATATTCAGTCTGCAACACGAGCTGACAGTTGAAGGCATTTTAAGTGCCAATATAAACTTAACCTCAGGTCGCCGGGTTCACAAAGCCCCTGCGTTGGCTGTCTCGCTACGAGCTCGGCGACCCGACTTTGATTCGCCCCCCCCCCCCCCACGGCCATCCAACAACAGCTGCCGGGACTCCCCTAGGTCGACTCAGCGTCAAACGGCGGTGTGCAGAAACATCGCCGCTGGGTGAGACAAAGACGGCCTGGGCGGGGTGCTGGCCACCCACCCCCCTCGCGCGCCGTGCCGGCCTTCATTGGCGGCCTTCATTGGCGCTGCTCCCCGCTACACAGCACTTGCCCCAACACTCTGTCACAGGCTATACGGGGGACCTTTGTCTGCCCACGTGGTGCAGTGGTTGGCGCAATGATTCTACGAACCCTGCGACCAGAGTTCAGTTTGCCGCTCACGGCCACCACCATCGCCAGTGACGATTATCTGAATCCGCTCCTGGGCTTCCCCTAGGTCGACTCGGCCTCAAATTAGTAACCTGATGTGGCCGCGTGTAGAATTTCGCCACCGGAGAGACAAAGGCGGCCTGGCGTGGTGCTGGCCACCCACCCCCTCATGTGCCGTGCCGGCCTTCATAAGTGCTACTCGCTCACAACACTTGCCACAACAGCCTGTGAAGGCTATGCGGGGGAGCTTTGTCTTTGATCCATCAACCCTCCTATGTACGTTGAACCTCTTTAGCGCCACCGCATGTCGACAAACGCGCCCATCGGAGGTTTGGCGTGAAAGACAACGAACTAAACACAAGCAGCAGTTCTAAAGAGATGAGTTTGTCAATCTGGATGATGATGATGTAAAAGAAGCATCATGGCTCCCAGTGGCTTCCGAATATCGGAAGGGAAGAGCGTTCCAGACGGCCGCAGAAGTAGCACGCCCAGAAGCGCCACGCGGTGATTTGGCGCGTGGTGTGGCGTAGCCAGAATCAGAATCAGAGAGACCCGTAGACTTGCATAGAGACTCATAGACTCACATAGAGGACCTACAAACAAACACCCATAGACTCGCATAGAGACCCATAGACTCACACAGAGACCCATAGACTTACAAAGAGACCCATAGACTCACACAGAGACCCATAAACTCACATAAAGACCCATAGACTTACATAGAGGACCTACAAACAAAGACCCATAGACTCGCATAGAGACCCATAGACTCACGCAGAGACCCACAGACTCACGCAGAGACCCATAGACTCGCACAGAGACCCATAGACTCACACAGAGCACCATAGACTCACATAGAGACCCATAGACTCACGCAGAGACCCACAGACTCACGCAGAGACCCACAGACTCGCACAGAGACCCATAGACTCGCACAGAGCACCATAGACTCACATAGAGGACCTACAAACAAAGACCCATAGACTCGCATAGAGACCCATAGACTCACACAGAGCACCATAGATTCACATAGAGGACCTACAAACAAAGACCCATAGACTCGCATAGAGACCCATAGACTCACGCAGAGACCCACAGACTCACGCAGAGACCCATAGACTCGCACAGAGACCCATAGACTCACACAGAGCACCATAGACTCACATAGAGACCCATAGACTCACGCAGAGACCCACAGACTCACGCAGAGACCCACAGACTCGCACAGAGACCCATAGACTCGCAGAGAGACCCATAGACTCACACAGAGCACCATAGACTCACATAGAGGACCTACAAACAAAGACCCATAGACTCGTATAGAGACCCATAGACTCACATAGAGGACGTGTCACCTGAGTGGGGATGGGAACGTGTCACCTGAGTGGGGATGGGAACGTGTCACCTGAGTGGGGATGGGAACGTGTCACCTGCTTGGGGATGGGAACGTGTCACCTGCTTGGGGATGGGAACGTGTCACCTGAGTGGGGATGGGAACGTGTCACCTGCTTGGGGATGGGAACGTGTCACCTACTTGGGGATGGGAACGTGTCACCTGCTTGGGGATGGGAACGTCTCACCTGCTTGGGGATGGGAACGTGTCACCTGCTTGGGGATGGGAACGTGTCACCTGCTTGGGGATGGGAACGGGTCACCTGCTTGGCGATGGGAACGGGTCACCTGCTTGGCGATGGGAACGGGTCACCTGAGTGGCGATGGGAACGGGTCACCTGCTTGGGGATGGGAACAGGTCACCTGCTTGGCGATGGGAACGGGTCACTTGCTTGGCGATGGGAACGGGTCACCTGCTTGTGGATGGGAACGTGTCACCTGCTTGGCGATGGGAACGGGTCACCTGCTTGTGGATGGGAACGGGTCACCTGCTTGGCGATGGGAACGTGTCACCTGAGTGGGGACGGGAAAGTGTCACCTGCTTGGCGATGGGAACATGTCACCTGCTTGGGGATGGGAACGTGTCACCTGCTTGGCGATGGGAACGGGTCACGTGCTTGGGGATGGGAACGTGTCACCTGCTTGGCGATGGGAACGTGTCACCTGCTTGGGGATGGGAACGTGTCACCTGAGTGGGGATGGGAACGTGTCACCTGCTTGGGGATGGGAACGTGTCACCTGCTTGGGGAAGGGAACGTGTCACCTGAGTGGGGATGGGAACGTGTCACCTGCTTGGGGATGGGAACGTGTCACCTGCTTGGGGAAGGGAACGTGTCACCTGCTTGGCGATGGGAACGTGTCACCTGCTTGGCGATGGGAACGTGTCACCTGCTTGGGGAAGGGAACGTGTCACCTGCTTGGCGATGGGAACGCGTCACCTGCTTGGCGATGGGAACGTGTCACCTGCTTGGCGATGGGAACGTGTCACCTGCTTGGGGATGGGAACGTGTCACCTGAGTGGCGATGGGAACGTGTCACCTGCTTGGCGATGGGAACGTGTCACCTGCTTGGGGAGGGGAACGGGTCACCTGAGTGGCGATGGGAACGGGTCACCTGAGTTGGGATGGGAACGGGTCACCTGCTTGGCGATGGGAACGTGTCACCTGCTTGGGGATGGGAACGTGTCACCTGAGTGGGGATGGGAACGAGTCACCTGAGTGGGGATGGGAAAGTGTCACCTGAGTGGGGATGGGAACGTGTCACCTGCTTGGAGATGGGAACTTGTCACCTGCTTGGAGATGGGAACGCGTCACCTGCTTGGAGATGGGAACGTGTCACCTGCTTGGAGATGGGAACTGGTCACCTGCTTGGGGATGGGAACGTGTCACCTGCTTGGGGATGGGAACGTGTCACCTGCTTGGGGATGGGAACGTGTCACCTGCTTGGCGATGGGAACGTGTCACCTGCTTGGGGATGGGAACGTGTCACATGCTTGGGGATGGGAACGTGTCACATGCTTGGGGATGGGAACGTGTCACCTGTTTGGCGATGGGAACGGGTCACCTGCTTGGGAATGGGAACGTGTCACCTGCTTGGCGATGGGAACGTGTCACCTGCTTGGGGATGGGAACGTTTCACCTGCTTGAGGATGGGAACGGGTCACCTGCTTGGCGATGGGAACGTGTCACCTGCTTGGCGATGGGAACGAGTCACCTGCTTGTGGATGGGAACGTGTCACCTGCTTGTGGATGGGAACGGGTCACGTGCTTGGGGATGGGAACGTGTCACCTGCTTGGCGATGGGAACGTGTCACCTGAGTGGGGACGGGAAAGTGTCACCTGCTTGGCGATGGGAACGGGTCACGTGCTTGGGGATGGGAACGTGTCACCTAAGTGGGGATGGGAACGTGTCACCTGCTTGGGGATGGGAACGTGTCACCTGCTTGGGGATGGGAACGTGTCACCTGCTTGGGGATGGGAACGTGTCACCTGCTTGGGGATGGGAACGGGTCACCTGCTTGGCGATGGGAACGGGTCACCTGCTTGGGGATGGGAACAAGTCACCTGCTTGGCGATGTACAGGAAGCTGAATCGCCGCGGCTGGACAGGCCGTGTCACGCTCGGCACGCCCCACAGATTCGCCAGCTGGATGGGAGCCGCCAGCAGCCAGAGCAGCGACAGCGGGGCCCAGACGAGCACCGTCTGCTCGAAGCACACCGTGAGGTCGGGCGTCTCCGTCTCCAGCAGCGATGAGTTCTTGATGAGGCGAGGACGCATGGGGTGGGGTGGGGGTGGGTGGGTAGGTGGGTGATGAAGTGGGGAGGAATGGGAGAGAGGGAATGGGGAGGTGGGAACACGACCTCCGATTAGCACGGTTGGCTACGTACAGTGGGAAAGACGTTTAACGTACATAGGTAGAATCACACAGAGACCCATAGACTCAGACAGAGACCCATAGACTCAGACAGAGACGCATAGACTCAGACAGAGACCCATAGACTCAGACAGAGACCCATAGACTCAGACAGAGACCCATAGACTCACACAGAGACCCATAGACTCAGACAGAGACCCATAGACTCACACAGAGACCCATAGACTCAGACAGAGACCCATAGACTCACACAGAGACCCATAGACTCAGACAGAGACCCATAGACTCACACAGAGACCCATAGACTCAGACAGAGACCCATAGACTCGCACAGAGACCCATAGACTAACACAGAGACCCATAGACTCACACAGAGACGCATAGACTCACACAGAGACCCATAGACTCACACAGAGACCCATAGAATCACACAGAGACCCATAGAATCACACAGAGACCCATAGACTCAGACAGAGACCCATAGACTCGCACAGAGACGCATAGACTCAGAGAGAGACCCAAAGACTACACAGAGACGCATAGACTCAGACAGACACCCATAGACTCACACAGAGTCGCATAGACTCAGGCAGAGACCCATAGACTCACACAGAGACACAGAGACTCCCTGAGAGACACATAGACTCACACAGAGACCCACAGACTCACACAGAGACCCAGAGACACACACAGAGAGCCACATACTCATACAGAGAGCCAAAGACTCATAGAGAGCCATATACTCACACAGAGAACCACAGGCTAACAGAGAGACCCACAGACACACACAGAGATCCATAGACTCACACAGAGATCAATAGACTTACACAGAGATCAATAGACTCAAACAGGGACACATAGACTCACAGAGAGACCCAGCAGACACAGATAGATCGGGAAGTATTAAACCAAAGCACCCTCTGATTGTTCACTTAAAGGGCCCTGAAAGGGGGAATTGGTCAGAGGCAGGGGGGACATCGATGGAAGGACATTGCAAGCAGAAATACAAACATGGAGGGGGAGGGGAAACTGAGGGATGATTGACACGGGGGTCGGTCGGTCAGGTTGACCTGCTGGAGAGAGTGGGAAGGTGATTGGGTGGAGGGGAAAGGGGAAGGTCAAATAACTTTCGAAACAGGGGGCTTGAGGGATATACGGGGACTCGTCGACGTACGAAATGGTTAGGTTCCAGAGGTCTGTTCGTAAGTCGATTTATTTGTAAGTCCCTAATTTACTCCAGTCGATTTCAAACACTTTGTACAGCGTGTACACTAAACACGGGGAATAGCTTTAAAAGTTGTATAATCTCTTGTAGATGTAGATGCCACTGGTTCTTCATGTTCTGCAGATGTAGATGCCACTACGCCTTCACGTTCTGCAGATGGAGATGCCACCACTGCGATCACTTATGACTCTCGGTCCAAACGGGCAACTGGACGTATGGACATATCTTTTCGTATCTCTGGAAGTTCGTAAGTAACGTAGGCCCTGTTTAAGGAGGTGGGGAGAGGACGCCATAGCTCGGGACGCTTGCAGTGAAGGGAATCTCCGAAGACCCGCGCGTGTCTCATGCCGGAAGAAATAACGGCTCCTGTCATTGAAGACCTCCTGCGTCGAGTGTTACTGCAAGGCTCCGTCCCTGGGGACGATCGCTTCTTTCGCAGAGTGCAGCGACGATGGAGACTATGGAACGCCGTTGACCGCTAGATAACGATGAGACAATTTAGAATCTTTAAGAGATATTTAAAGGTTGCCCTGAAAATTTTGTCTGCTTTAAAAATGGGCCCCCTGCCCTACGCCCCCCCTCCGCCCACTGCCCCCCCCCCCACCCCCCTCACTGGATCTGCCTTGGCATCTCCCAGCTTTCCATAGTTCGGGGGCACATTGGGATCCTTGGGATGAAATGTGCGATACATGTTTATTTATTATATATTATTTTTTGTATTTCTTTGTATATTTTCAATCAATTTAATATATTTTATTGATGTATTTTCTGTAAATTTTATTTTTATTATTTTTATTATTTTTTAAAAGATATTATTGATTCGATTTTATATATTTGTCTTTTTTTCAATATATTCTATTGCTTTTATCGATTGTTTTATATATAGATTGTTTGAGATTTTTATTTTATTTTACTTTCTCCGTTTTATTTCTTTTCAAAGTGTAATTATTTTATCATTTCATTTCTTTTCATTTCTTTTCATTTCACCCCGCTCCCTCCCCACCTCCTTTCTCTGCCACCGCCCTTTTCCGCGCGCCTCCTCACCCAGAAAGTGGAGCCGCAGTATCGGTCCAGCGTCGACGCCATCGGTCGCCTCTTGGTATGCCCCCTTGGCACTCGGACTCTCGACAGAGGAGCGGTGGGGGGTAGCTCGACGGAGAGGCTCGCGCGGTCCCTCACGAGTCTCACGGAGTCACGCAGCGGAACCCTGCACGCCGCATCAGAGTCAACCGTCGTCGTCACGTCAACTCACGTCGACTCACACAGGGACCCCCATAACACTCACGTGGAGACGCATAGACTCACATAGAGACCCATACTCGCAAGAGAAACCTATAGACTCACAGGGAGATGCATAGACTCACATAGAGACCCATAGACTCACATAGAGACACATACTCACAAGATAAACTAATAAACTCACAGGGAGACGCATAGACCCACGTAGAGACACATACTCGCAAGAGAAACCTATAGCCTCACAGGGAGATGCATAGACTCACATAGAGACCCAAACTCGCAAATATACCCATAGACTCACACAGCAAACCACAGACTCATACAGAGACCCATAGACTCACACAAAGACCCATAGACTCACACAGAAACCCACTGACTCAAATAAATATGCATAGACTCACATTGAGATCCATACCCACATAGAGAACTTTAGACTCATACAGAGACCCAAAGACTCATACAGAGATCCATAGACGGACACAGAAACCCATAGACTCACACAGAGACCCAAAGACTCATACAGAAACCCATAGACTCACACAGAAACACATAGGTGCGTACAGAGACCCATAGACGCACACAGAAACCCATAGACTCACACGGCAACCCAAAGACTCACACAGAGACCCATAGACTCACACAGAAACCCATAGACTCATATAGAGACACATAGACGCACACAGAAACCCATAGACTCACACGGCAACCCAAAGACTCACACAGAGACCCATAGACTCACACAGAAACCCTTAGACTCACACAGAAACCCATAGACTTATACAGAGACCCATAGACGCACACAGCAACCCATAGACTCACACCCATATAGTCACAGTGAGATGCATAGTTCAAGTTCACTGAGCTGCTCTATCTTTTTTCAGAATCGATCTGGCTTTCACAAATGGACATTGAAAGCAGCCAACAAATAACTCTGAACGCGTGGACGTTGATTCTAAATGTGGAGGAGGGAAAAACAGCCAAAGAATCCACGCGACCACGGAGAGAGAGAGACACGCAGACTTCAGTTCTAGCTCCCCCGCCTACTACCCCTCACCTCCATCACCTCCCTCATCCTCCTCACCCTCCATCACCTACATCACCTACATCACCTACATCACCTACATCACCTCCCTCACCTCCATCACCTCCCTCATCCTCCTCACCCTCCATCACCTACATCACCTACATCACCTCCCTCACCTCCATCACTCCATCACCTCCATCACCTCCCTCATCCTCCTCACCCTCCATCACCTACATCACCTACATCACTCCATCACCTCCATCACCTACATCACCTACATCACCTCCCTCACCTCCATCACCTCCCTCACCTCCATTACCTACATCACCTCCTTCACCTCCATCACCTACATCACCTACATCACCTACATCACCTCCCTCACTCCATCACCTCCATCACCTACATCACCTACATCACCTCCCTCACCTCCATCACCTCCCTCATCCTCCTCACCCTCCATCACCTACATCACTCCATCACCTACATCACCTCCATCACCTCCATCACCTACATCACCTACCTCACCTCCATCACTCCATCACCTACATCACCTACATCACCTACATCACCTACATCACCTCCATCACTCCATCACCTACATCACCTACATCACCTCCATCACCTACATCACCTACATCACCTACATCACCTCCATCACCTCCATCACCTACATCACCTACATCACCTACATCACCTCCATCACCTACATCACCTACATCACCTACATCACCTCCATCACCTACATCACCTACATCACCTACATCACCTCCATCACCTCCATCACCTCCATCACCTACATCACCTACATCACCTACATCACCTACATCACCTACATCACCTACATCACCTCCATCACTCCATCACCTCCATCACCTACATCACCTACATCACCTACATCACCTACATCACCTCCCTCACCTCCATCACCTCCCTCACCTCCATCACCTACATCACCTACATCACCTACCTCACCTCCATCACTCCATCACCTCCCTCACCTCCATCACCTACATCACCTCCTTCACCTCCATCACCTCCCTCCCCTCCCTCACCTCCATCACTCCATCACCTACATCACCTACCTCACCTCCCTCACCACCCCTCCCTCACCTCCCTCACCTACCATCACCTCCACACCTCCATCACCTCCATCACATCATTCACCTCCCTACGTATTCCTACAAAGATTATGAATCTTAGGAGACGCATCGTGCCGTAGGCACGCTCCTTCGACAACGACAACAACAACCTGAGAAGTTTGCAACAACAACAAACACATCACGCACAGATGCCTGCTGGCAGTTCCACGCAGAAACGAAGAAGAGACGCAGAGAGAGAGAGGGGGGGGCACGCGGATTAGAGACCACACGGAGGGCGAATGACATCATCATGTTGATCTTCATCCAGCTGTGGAGTGACCATATTCTTAGGTTTTTTTGGCAAAGTCACGTAGGTAAAAAATTAAAATTAAAATTAATAAAAGTCAAATAAAAATGGAGTGACCATGGCTGCTACGATGATGGTGATGGTGGTGGAGGCTTGTGGAGGCCTTCATCCAGCAGTGGATATAGAATGAAGTTATGACTGCGATGTTGATGGAGAGGGTTAAAAACAAACATCCGTAAATCTTCCCGGTCACTCACCTGACTGTGGCCTTCCCATACGACGACTCCGAGTGTGAAACACGCGAACGTGATCGAACACCATCGACACGGCGGGATTATTAACGCCCAAAAAATTATGGGGAGAAAATTATGGGAGAAAAATACGGAAAAAAATTATGGAAAATTTTACGGAAAAAATTGTAAAAAATTATGGAAAATTTTACGGAAAAATATAGAAAATTACAGGAAAATTATGGAAAAATTCACAGAAAAAATAACGGAAAAATAATGCAAAAAATTACGAAAAGGAGCAACGTGCATCGTAGCGAGGCAAGCGCGCGCGCGTAGAACCCCGCTGACGATCCGCTAAGCGGCGACATCAACTTACGGGAGACCTCCAAGTTAGTGGCGCCAGCAAAGTCGACTCAGAAGATGAGATCCTCCTCCTGCTCCCGCTCCCTGTTGCTGTGTAAAGTCGTCTCCGCTTCTCCTGCCCCCCGCCTCCTCTCTGCCCCTCCGTTAGTGAACGAATCGACGGAATGAATGAAGGGGGTGGGGGGGGCTAGAGTTGATTATGCAGCCACCGTGGCTTATACAGCAGCAGCAGCAGCGGCAAACAACCCACACAGCACCGATGCTGCTGAAGTTTCTGTCTCCCAAAGCTCCTCTCTGCCTCCTCCGTTGGAATGAATGAAGGGGGGGGGTGGTGGTCGTGGTGGGTAGAGTTGATTATACAGCGGCCCTGGCGTATACAGCAGCAGCAGTAGCAGCAGCAAGCAACCCTCACAGCACTCACTGATGCTGCCGAAGCTGAACTTTGGACGACAATCAAGATACGTGATTTACATCTTAATAGTGGGGGGTGGAGGGGGTCCGGTGGGTGTCAGCATGTTCAGACGCCGCAAAAGAAGACAAAGATCCCCCGGGTAGCCGGAACAGACTGTTGGGGCAAGTGCTGTTAGCTAGTAAACACCGGGCCGCCTTTGTCTCCCCAATGGCGATGTTTTTTTCTTTTTTTACAAATTGCGTTTGAGGCTGGGTAGACCTAGGGGAGGCCCATACCCGGTTCGAGTTTGATCGCCAATGGTTGTTGGCCGTGAGTGGGATTCGAAATGCGGGGTTCGGAGCGCAACGCGCTAACCACTGCACCACCGCTCCCCACACACACACAGTGTGCTAACCACTGCACCACCGCTCCCCTCACACACAGTGCGCTAACCACTGCACCACCGCTCCCCACACACGCACAGTGCACTAACCACTGCGCCACCGCTCCCCACACACACACAGTGTGCTAACCACTGCACCACCGCTCCCCACACACACAGAGCGCTAACCACTGCGCCACCGCTCCCCACAACGACCCACGCAGCGCACCCTCTGACACCAGAAGCTGCCGGTCGCCACTAAGTGGCAGTGACGTCACCACGGCGCCCGTGCCAGGCTAGGTGCACTTCGACGGCACGTGTCGAATTGCTCCCCGCTGGCAGGAGGTTACGGGGCCTACCCAGGTGCCATGGGTTGGCTGGCTGAGATGATGACCGATAGAAGCACCACCTGTGCCCCCTACTGTGTCAATTTGCCGTGCTTTATCGCCCGGCGTTCCGCTCGTTGTTGTGAGCGTCGCTCCTCCGCCCTCCGTTGTTGCTGGAGGGCGACTGCCTCCAACTGCCCAGTAGCGTCCTTCACGAGCCTCCTCCTCCACAGAGGCTGATCTTGACACCGCTGGTACCGGTCATCGGCAAGTCCACTCAGCTCCACGTCCTCCTGTACCACATCACTCCATCTCTTCTCTAGCCCGTGTCGTGCCCGTTTAGCCCATCCTCTCCGACCAAACAAAAGCTGCCTAGACATGCGGTGGCTGGGCATGCGGGCTACATCACCCAGCCAATGCAGCCTTGTTTGCCGGAGGAGCTCACCGTTGGGAATGTGTCCAGATTTGTCAAGGAATTGTGAGCTCCTCACACAATCCAGCCTGGTTGAACCCAGGAATGGATCTAAGGCAAGTCATCCTGAATTATTCTAACTGGCGCAGATGTTCCATGATCAATTTCTACGTTTCATAAGCAGAGATGACTATGGCCGAGAAGACCCACAGCTTCTCATGGAGCGACAGACCAGGTAGATTCCACACACCATTACACAGCCGATGAAATATAATGCTGCCCGACTGAACACTGTCCACTCTCTCCACAAATGAGGAGTTGAGGGGTGGAGTGTTTGATGGCACAAAATACCCAGGCAGGTGCTTAGTTTTGGAGGGGCTGATGGTGAGACCTCACCTCTTAGAGTCATGCTCCAGGTTTAAAAGCAGCGCCTCCAACTCCTCCTCTGAGTGAGCACCTATGAAGGCCGGCACGGCACACGAGGGCGTGGGTGGCCAGCACCACGCCCGGCCGCCTTTGTCTCCCCTGTTTGCGATGTTTACTGCACACCGCACCAGGTACTCATTTCTGTGACCCTATGGCTCACTGTGTGAGTCTCTGGCTCTCTGTGTGAGCCTATCGCTCTCTGTAATAGTCTGTGGCTCTCTGTGTGAGCCTATGGCTCTGTGTAGGAGTCTGTGGGTCTCTGTGTGAGTCTATGGGTCTCCGTGTGAGTCTACGGCTCTCTGTGGGAGTATTTGGCTGTCTGTGTGAGTCTATGGGTCTCTGCATGAGTTTATGGCTGATTGTCTGAGTCTATATGTTTCTGTGCGAGTCTATGGGTCCCTATAAAAGTCCATGGATATATGTGTGAGTCTAGTGGTCTCAGTGTGATTATGTGGCTCTTTGTGTGAGTCTGTGGGTCGCTATGTGAGTTGTGGGTGTCTGTGTGAGCCTGTGGCTCTCTGTCTGAGTCTGTGGCTCTCTGTGTGAATCTGTGGCTTTCTATATGAGTCTATATGTCTCTGTGCGAGTCTATGGGTCCCTATAAAAGTCGATGGATATATATGTGAGTCTATAGGTCTCAGTGTGATTCTGTGGCTCTCTGTGTGCGTCTGTGGGTCGCTATGTGAGTCTGTGGCTCGCTTTTTGAGTCTATGGCTCTCTGTGTGAGTCTGTGGTTCTCCGTGTGAGTTTTTCTCTCTGTGTGAGTCTATGGCTCTCTGTGTGAGTATGTGGCTCTCTGTCTGAGTCTATGGCTCTCTGTGTGAGTCTGTGGGTGTCTGTGTGAGTCTGTGTCTCTCTGTCTGAGCCTATGGCTCTTTGTGTGATTATGTGTCTCTCTATCTAAGCCTCGCTCTCTGTGTGAGTTTATGGGTCTCTGTGACAGTCTGTGGGTCTCTGAGTCTGTAGCTCTGTCTGAGTCTATGGGTGTATTTGCGAGTCTATTGATTTGTATATAAGTCTTTGGCTCACTGAGTCTACGGGTCTCAGTGTGAGTCTATGGGTGTCTGTGTGAGTCTACGGGTCTCAGTGTGAGTCTATGGGTGTCTGTGGGAGTCTGTGGGTGTCTGTGTGAGTCTGTGGGTGTCTGTGTGAGTCTATTGATTTATATATAATTCTTTGGCTCACTGAGTCTACGGGTCTCAGTGTGAGTCTATGGGTGTCTGTGTGAGTCTGTGGGTGTCTGTGTGAGTCTCTGGGTGTCTGTGTGAGTCTACGTGCCTCTATGTGAGTCCATGACTCTCTGTGTGATGAGTCTACGAGACCCCGGTATCATCTCTGTGGCTTTGCCGCTGAACCTCATAGTGGAACCCAGGCCCTCAACAACATCAGCAGCAGCAGCAGCGGCAGCAGCAACGCCATCTGTAACCTCTGATCCCAGCCTTGGTTATGGATCAGAGTACAGATATTATCCGCGAAGTTTGAACCCCAAAGTTTGGCACCTGACACCATGGGATATAATTATGTTTTCATTTCAGCCGGGGATGTACGGGTTATTGATCGAGAAAATAAATAGACATACACTCAAAAGTATTGATGGCTCAACGAAGTGGCTTACCATCGCGTGGAAATTCATCTCCAGCAGCGAAATGCTCATGAACGCGTGGTGTTGTTAATTCTCAACGTGGATGGGAAAACCCTGGAGAGGAAGCCGGAGACAAATCCACGGGACCACGGTGAGAGGGAGAGAGAGAGGGAGACACCGCAAACTCCCAATATACAACAGGCGTCAGGATCGGGATCGAAGCGACGATCTCCTGTAGACCAGGCGAGGTAGTTAACATCTAGCCACCGTGATGATGATGAGAGAGACGCAAACTCCAAATACACAGCAGGCGTCAGGGTCGGGATCGAAGCCACGACCTCCTGTAGAGCAGGCGAGGTAGTCAACATCTCCTAGGCCACCGAGGCGGCCCTGTTTGTCTCTGTCTATCACGGAAAAGCCGCATCGAAGCCACGACCTCCTGTAGACCAGGCGAGGTAGTTAACACCTCACTCTAGCGCAGAGCCGTCTGGGTAGCCACTGAGTTCACCACGGTGAGAAGTATTGGTAACCCTCCCCAGTGTCCTGCAGGGTCATAACCCAGTGAACACCTCAATGTTGAACGCAAAGCTGACACGTGGTTAGAACCGTTGGACGAACGTTGGCTCAACGTTCAAAATTTACTGGGAGTGCCCCTCCTACACCCACCTTACCCATCGCAGAAATCCTTGGGTTGCCTACCCCTGAACCGTATCACCCATCGATTCCAAACGCGTTGTTACGGAATGTACACTAAACACGGGGAATGGCTTCAACATTTGTGTAGAGGAGTCAAGGCCGTAGCCATGGAGTCAACATTGGGGGGAACCAAATCTTCCGGGGGGTGTGGGGGTGCCCCCCCCCCCCAGAAAAAATATCTAAATTTGAAAACTAATTTCCTGCCTAAAATATTAATAAATTCACTAACACATGGGATGGACTTTTTATTTATTTTTTACAACAATGTCTGTTTTTTTCTTTTTTACCTTTTCTTGTTTCATTGTATGTAATGGCAGAGATTGGGATTAATAAAGTACAATCATAACCACGATCAAATAAACATGATTTTATTATATGGCAATATATTGGGGGGGGGACATTTTGAGCATATTTGAATATTTGGGGGAATGTGCCCCCCCATATACATTATAATTACTGCCTTGAGAGGAGTAGTGTGAGCAACCATGAGGGGCGAACAGAGGGTGGAGCGAGCGAGTTGACAGTCAAGGGTCACGTCACGTCACGTGTGCTGTAAGAGGTTCCTTCGGGAACAAGGGCGGGTCCGGGCTAGGGGGAGGAGCCACCAAAGGTGGACCACGTGACGAGGGCGTGGTCACCATGGGAACCTCATTTTCCAGTAAAAAATATGATAATTGTTTTTTTACCCTTTTATCTGGCAACAAAACTGACACCTTTTTTTACAAGGAGTCATGTTTGCATTGGCCACAATACCTGCAGTCGGAATGCAAACAAAAAACACAACTCTGATAATGTATGCACTGTCCTTGAAGTTGATTTGGTCCACACCCGAGACAGCTTTTTCTTAGAGCCTAGTCTCACGTGGTGTTGGACCAAATGACGCCAAAAGGCGCACAACTCAAAGACAATGCACCATCAGAGT